TACCCCCCCCCCCCCCCCCCCGGGGGGCCCCCCCCCCCCCCCCCCCCTCCCTTTTTTCGTTTCCGTCGCGCATTGTACGTATGCATACATACGGCGGCACGACCACTCCCAATAAAAACAACAATGGGAAACAGCCCGTGGCGACGGTGGTGATCCCGCTCCGTAGCATCCCGGTCATCTTCCCAGAAGACGCCGCCAAAGCCGCTTCGGAGAACAAAACATCACCCTCGTTGGACAAGAGCAACGACCAGCAGGAGGAGGAAGGGGCGGAGGGGAGGGCACCACCCTCCGAGGGCACCGGTGCGTTGGACGGGAGGAGCAGGAGATCGTGTCTTAGGAGGGGCTCCTTGAGCGTCGGCGGCGGCAGGGTTCGGAGCGGCGGGAATCGTGCCGGTTCGGGAGCGAGCGGGGATGGGGAGCAGCAGCGACCACCGGCGACGGCGAGGCCGTACCACTTGCAGACGCTGGCGGGGCCCATGACCAACAGGACCATGGGGAACGGCTTCGTGCTCATGTCTCTCACGCTTGTGGCGAGCGGCAATGATCTCTTGGGGGAGCCGGACGAGCGGGATGGGGAAGACGTCAAGGTACGACAGAAGGCGGCGGCGGCGGCCGGCCTTGTTAGGTTTTCTCTTTCTCCTTCCACCCCTCCCGTGTTTTTTTTTCTTTTTGCGGATAGTGCCCTTGTTTGTTTTTGATGACGGTGGTGGTGTTTTTGTTGTTGTCGTTGTCGTTGTCGTTGTCGTTTGCTATTGCTGCTGTTGCGGTTGTTGCTGTTGTTGTTGCTGTTGTTGTTGTTGTTGCTGTCGTCGCGGTCTTTGATGTTGTTGTTGTTGTTGTTGTTGTTGGGGTTTCGGTCTCTTGCTTTGCGCCTGGTGCCATCAATGCCCACCTTGCCTGTAACCCCCCCGATACCGTTCCAACCCGACCCTTCAAGTACAGCAGAACGACCGAAGACCGATGACATTACTCTCCTCCGACCACGCATGACCCCCCTCCCCCGCCCGCCCCTCTGTTAACACCGGACCGTTGTAGGGACCGCTACCACCGCCTCCCGATCCCCTTACAGACGCGATCCTCGACACGCAGCTCTCCTCCGGGTACCAGCGGCTTCGAAAAGCGCTGCTGTGGAACGACTCCAAGCTGCAGGCCGCGCTCGTGGACCTGCTGGTAAGCTTAGCCTTACCCGGCTTTCTTGTCTCTCTGTGTGTGTGTGTTGTGTGTGTGGAAGACTCCGCATGGCCGAAGGGAGGCGTGCGCTGTTGAAAGCTTGTTTTGGTGTTTGTGTGGGCTGTGTGTGTGTACACTTCGAGGGAAGAGAGTGCTGCACTGCTGTTAGTGCGTTTAACACCGAAGGCGAGAAGCGCAGGAGGGGTGGAGGGAGAGGAACCCTTCTGTTGTGTGATCACGGATTGGAGTCAGCTCCCACCCGGCAGAAATGCCGTGAGCGCTGATGATAATCGTTTGCTCAATGTTTCTGCCACACCACTTGCGCTGTTTTTGCTGCTGCGGCCTCTGCTGCTGCCGTTGCTACCATCACTGCCGGTGCTGGTGCCGATGCTATTTGCTCATGCTGATGCTGATGCTTTCTGCTGGTAATATATGCTGGTGATCATGCTGATGCTATGTGCTGGTGCTCATGCTTCTGCAATTTGCTGGTGCTGGTGCCATGTGCTGATGCTCATGCTATGTGCTGCTGCTGCTGCTGCTGCTGCTGCTGCTGCTGCCGTTGCTCCCGTCACCACCGGTGGTGATCCCGATGCCATGTGCTGCTGCTGACGCGGCGCAGAACCACTCCGAGGTGGAGCAGTCCTCATGGGTGGACAGGGATGGCGAGGCCGCTGCACAGGAGAACCTCACCGGCTGCACGAGACGGCGCTCTTTCATGCTCCCCAAGAGCGCGATGGTGGCCGCTACAAGGGCCGAGTGCCACGAAATCGTCTTAGCCGATGGTGAGACTCTTGCCAAGGGGGGTGGTAGGAGAAC